CTCGTAATCATTTGCATATGAGACGCGCCCAAATGACTCCCCATCGGCGTGTGGTTGAGAAGCCACCATCGTACCACAAACTCCTCCGAGCCAATGGCCATCACAGCCCGTCTTAAGTTCTCTGTGGCGGAAACCAAGCCCTTTCGAGCTGGAATCAACATGCTTTTTTGCCGAATGTTATTGCTTGTGTGACAGGTACGGGTACCATGCGATGCCATCGCAAGAGCCGTTGCACTTGCACGTCATCAGCATGGACCTCGACGGGACGGGCCTGAAGCGCAAGACACACTGGAACAGCTTCACGACAGGTAGCTCGGGTTCTACGCGGAAGCGAGGCATGCGTAGTTGCGTGATGTGCCACCGCCGCCGCCGCCGCTGCTGCTGCCACTGCTGCCACTGCTGCTGCTGCTGCAACGGTGCAGCAGCATGCAACGATACTCCAATCAGTTCATTTACTCCTTTGACTACCTAGACTGCGGGGATACTAGCATCTGTGTTGGCACGCCCACTGNGCTGCTGCTGCTGCTGCTGCTGCTGCTGCTGCTGCTGCTGCTGCAACGGTGCACCAGCATGCAACGATACTCCAATCAGTTCATTTACTCCTTTGACTACCTAGACTGCGGGGATACTAGCATCTGTGTTGGCACGCCCACTGACTGCGACGAGGCAACCCGGATCGAAAACGTTTTAACGTGTGTCGCTCATGTTTGCCCATTCTTTTGGTCAATCCTCTCAATCCTCCTTGCCGTGCTCTACTTATTTTTCCGTACGTTGCCCACTGTACCTCCCTCGACAGATTTGTTTCTGGAGACGTCCTGGGTAGAGAGGCGGCTGGAGGAGCGGGGAAGCATCGGTCTGGACATGTAAAAGATACTCTTCTGCTTGTGTCCCCGTCGTTGTTGCAGAACCGCTGTTGGTGAACATGCGGGCAGCACCATTGGACAAATTACTCTCGGTCGGCCTTGCCCCGTTCCGCATTATTTGACCGTGTGACTGACCCAAACAGATGCCTTGCGTCGTGTCCTGCTTTTGTCCCGTCCGCCAGGCGAACACTCAGGGAACTCGAGCATGTGAAGTTGAGGTGCTTCCGCTGCCCGGGCGAGCCGGAATTTCGAGACTTGGAATCCCTTAAAGCACACAACCGTGCGTGCACCGCGCCGGTCCCGGCAGCAGGCCGCCATGACCCCGCGGCCCTCGACGTACGTAGAGGTTCTTCGACGTGAGCTCGAGGTAGCATGCAACCCCAAGTGCCCCGCAAAGTTCGGCGAGTGGCAGCCATACATGCAAACGTACCAGACGTGCTATCATGCGCTGGTGGTATTTTTGTTGTCGCTGGTTGAGGTTCGTTGGTAATGTTGGGGCACCAATGAGGGGAAGAGTTCCGCACGCAAGATGAAGAGAGGCATAAAACTTAGGCTATGTCGTGTTGCGTATGTATGTGAAGGAAAGTTTCGGCGAAGGGGGGTCTCTCGGTGAAGAATTACGTTCCTACATATAGCCAGACGAAATCTGTCTTGGTGATTTTTTTTGCCAAGGAAGACAGTGCAAAAAGGGAGGTACCCCGCGACGAGTTGATCTACAGGGTTTCCGGGGGCTGCGCAAAGGCAATGAGCACCATGGGCATGGCGGGAAATGCTCTTGTCAAGCCTCACCCAAGCCCCTTCACTCCTCTTGTTCTGTGGAAGATGGTTTCGACAAGAACAGCCCGCGAGAGGATGACATCTCTCGCCCCGTATGTTGCCTCCTCTTGAGCGCCTTAATAGCAAGATTCCTGGCTTTCGACGCTTGGTTCTATCCTCCTGCGTCTCTGCAGCCTGCACTGCCTCCCTACCATACCGTTTCGCTTTCATTCGAGCTCCTGTGCCTACCTACCTAACTTGCTTGCCTACCACCAATGGTCTCTCCACGAGCTTCGGCGGTGTATTCACACCCATATTGGCGCCTCCTCTAACCCAATTCTCACCCCTATTCGATAAAAGAGAACCACGAAAGTACTAACACTGTGCGAGAAGTCTTATGTTTCGGCGTTTCGAACAACCCTATGACACCCTCAGCATTCCGTCTCGCTTCCATCCAAGCTGTACGCAGATCGCTTGAAACCCTCCAAAATTCGTCTTTCCAGCAATGTGACATACAGGGTTCCCGAAACACTGGGCCAAGGAGTGGGAGGTGATGTGGCGATTGGGCCGTGAATACTGCAGTGCCTACCTACTCTCAGATGGGAGCGTGGTCGATGACGGCTGGATCAGCGGGGCCATGGTCCGACCCGATCATCTGCTGGCGATCCTCCAAGAGATGGGGGAGACGGTGGTCCTCTGTAACCGACAGGTTGATGAATTGTGGGGGAGGGTCCTACGGTGGATAGCAGCGTCTTCGCGAACAAGAGGATCGTCGGGCGACCAGATCCTGTTGTACGGGCCATACCGAAATATACCCTCCTTCCGCCGAGGGTCAACAATCTAACGGCCAATCATGTGGTCTGGGCAATGGACCGAATCCAATTGAACGTAGTGGAACGGCTCCCTCGGTTTGTCTCGCAGCAGTGAATTCGCCATTCTGCCGTGGCGGGAGGTCCACATTCACAAAACTACATGCATCTGTACTACACATAGTCTAGTCTAGATAGTCTAGAAGTGTTACATACACAGACTGTAGTGCTTGGTCTTGTGCATGTTTCACGTAATGTTTCGGGCGTGGAGCCCAGGTGTGTCTCGGGTTTCAGCGGCGTCCTTGCTCCTCTAGCCAAAGTGGGAGAACCAGGACAGGTGCACAAGCTCACGTCAACGGTACGGATACAAGGATCGTGTTGCTTCCCCAACATACAAAAGCAGGCATAGACTAGTCCCCTCTAGACTACCTGCGAGCAGTTCCAAATTTCCTCACCTCAAGGACTGAACAGATCCCATGCCCTCCACTGAACAACTTTGGTCCAAGTTCTATCGTTCCATCCATGTGTTTTTTTCTCTCTCGCTCTCTCCCTCGTTGGCCTTGTCCCTTCCACTTACACGCTCCCTGTCGACTCAACAACGAACATGCGGCGTAACTCTGAGGGAGGGGTTCGTGGATGTCAATCGACATATTAATGTGCATTCCGTCACGGGAGGCGGGCATCGTTGTTTGCACGAGGATATCATGCAGCCCGTGGTGTTCCTTCCGACCTGTTTTCAAACTTGTCTGTTCCGGGAGAGTTGTGGTTGTGCATGTGGTACTAGGGGGATATACAATAAGAGGAAACCTGACGCTCTTTCTCTCATGATCTTTGGTTAGGACGCTGGGATCTGGGATTTCGGGGTATTTTGTAAGTGAAAGGACGATTTCACGCGTCCGTTGCGCTTTTCTGTCATCTGCTAAACTACATACAGTAGGGGGCCCTCTATAGTGCCGGTATGTGTTCAGAGAGCAAAGCGGCACTATACCGGGCACCGGCACTATTCAGAGTACAGAAAGACTTGATATTCCGGTGTGTGCGAGCCGAAAACACCGGCACTATACCGGCAACCGGCACTATTCAACCGGCACTATATCCGGCCACCCACTGTATGAACAAGTATGTACATCGGACTGGAACAAATCAAAGGCATCACCCTCGTGGCTGTCGATGGATTGATAGCCCGAAGTTCAAGCGTTTCGTTTTGGGATCTGCGAGAGAGAGAGAGAGAGCACACACACCTTCGCTCGTCATGCTCCTGAGGAATCGACCCGCGGTGCGTGTAAAGACACGCCGACAGACGGCGACGAGGTGAGATAGCACTCCAGCGCGAGCACCTATTTGGGTGGTGTGTTGGTCTAAGCATATATATGGGCCTGCGAACGCAATCAGGTGGCGTGGCGTGGCCTCAGTCGTATCTGTTCGTGTGTTTTGATATGGACTGGTGAGATCTACCGGCAACAACAGAGGGCACGCAGATGGGGTATATGTACACCTTGAAATGGTTGCATGTGCGGGGACCCCTCGAACTCCAAAGAGGGCTTCACTTCTCCCTACTCCCCTTGCGTGACTAATGCAAGAGACAAAACGCCTTCCCCTTCTAAGCAAAGGACATATACGAACACACTAGTGTCAGTCCCTCGAGGGAGAGTCTATTAGGAATGTCAGGTCGAAAAGATGGGGGTAACTCCTCCAGCTAAACTGCGGCGGAAGACAGAAAGAGGTCAAGAGAAGAGCTCGTGGCCCTGAGGACGCGAGTTAGCTCGCTGACGGATCAGATGAGCCAGCTAATGTCGCTAGTGGAAGATACCATGAAGGCAAGCAAGAAGGAGGAGCCAGCTGGCACCATGGAGGGTGCCGCTGATCGCGGCGATACTAGGGAGAGCGCCGCCGCGGAGTCCACGAACGTCGAAGGAGAAGCACCGTGGACCGGGCGTGCGCAGGACGGGAGGTACCTGCGCGAACCTGTTCGNGCAAAGGACATATACGAACACACTAGTGTCAGTCCCTCGAGGGAGAGTCTATTAGGAATGTCAGGTCGAAAAGATGGGGGTAACTCCTCCAGCTAAACTGCGGCGGAAGACAGAAAGAGGTCAAGAGAAGAGCTCGTGGCCCTGAGGACGCGAGTTAGCTCGCTGACGGATCAGATGAGCCAGCTAATGTCGCTAGTGGAAGATACCATGAAGGCAAGCAAGAAGGAGGAGCCAGCTGGCACCATGGAGGGTGCCGCTGATCGCGGCGATGCTAGGGAGAGCGCCGCCGTGGAGTCCACGAACGCCAAAGGAGGGGAACCGTGGACCGGGAGTGTGCAGGACGGGAGGTACCTGCGCGAACCTGTTCGAGAGTCTGGCCCGTCAGGGCGACACAGCGGCGAAGCAGGGGGCTTTGTCCCCCAAGAGGTGAGAGTAGCCGCTGCTCACAATCAAAATTATAGTAGCGCCATGGTGGTGCTGCTGTTGGCTTTGGATACGGAGCCACAACCCCACCGACGGGGTACCAAAGTGTGCGGTACACTTCTCCTCCGTTCAGCGGGAAATCGAAAGATTTCAACGAATGGGTAAATGATTTCCGCATGGCAGCTAATGGCGCAAACCTGTTGGAACAATTTGAAGAGAGCGGGAGCTTGGAGATCCCCGTCAACACCGGAAAGAGCAAGTTTTCGCTGTCACAGCAGTACCGGAGCGAGCAAGTAGAGCTCGCATTCCCGCGTGGAACTTCCTGTCTCACGCGTTGAAAGAAAAGATCGGAAAGTCATGAAGAAGGCAGAGACGCCCCAGGGAGCTCTTCGTGAGCTCAAGACCATACACGATCCTGAATCATCTGTACAGCCGTCAGAGGACCTCAAGTCCCTGACGTCGACCAAGATCTCTAGAGGTGAAAAACCCCCAAACGCCCTAAATGAGATGCTCCAAACCGCAAAGTCCTTAACCGACCGAGAAAGGACTAACTGTCAACGAAACGTTCGTCCTTCACCTCTTCCTGGATGCCCTTTCGGACGAGTATGCCATGACAAAGCACAACCTGCGACACGCGAAGGAGTTGACGCGGACCGGTGTGCTAAAGGAAGTAATGATCGAATACAAGGCGATCAAGGACAAGCTGGAGCAGGGGAAAGGAAAAGGGGCGAAGGGCGCAGAGCAAGCGTACTTCGCCGACGGTGAGGGCCGCAGGGAGCGGTACTCAAGTAAGAGTCAGGGGCAAGGTCGTGGTCTTGGCGGCGACCGTGGCCGCAGAAGCAGTCGTGGCCGCGGCGGCGGTGGTCGAGGCGGCCGCTCAGGCGGATCCGGAGGAGTCGAGGAGAGCAAGGGAAGCAGCAGTGGAGGCGCCGATGGCGGCGGTGGCGGGGACTTTAAGTTCCCGGGCCGGTGCTTTAGGTGTAGACATCGTGGACATCAAGCGATCGGCTGCACTACCAACGAGAAGGAATTCGTGCCGTGGTGTGCGCGCTGCGAGGGGTGGGGCCACACCAAAGAAAAGTGCGCGACGGAGGAGGCCGTCCTAGCGCAAGTGGTGGAGCATGAGAGCGACGTGGACTCCGTGGAAGACCAGGCGTTTTGTGCCGTGGCAGTCCCCCCAGGCGAGTGTGGTACCGTTGGTGAAGTAGGTCTAGTGGGGGTTGTGGAACAAGGCCAGGCGGTGTACGTGGCCGACACAGCGGCCACGTGCTCCATGTTCCGATGTGCAGACAACTTCGTGAACTACCGTGAGCGTAGCGGTTGGGTGTAAGNAAGGACTAACTGTCAACGAAACGTTCGTCCTTCACCTCTTCCTGGATGCTCTCTCGGACGAGTGTGCCATGACAAAGCACAACGTGCGACACGCGAAGGAGTTGACGGGGACCGGTGTGCTAAAGGAAGTAATGATCGAATACAAGGCGATCAAGTGGCAGTCCCCCCAGGCGAGTGTGGTACCGTTGGTGAAGTAGGTCTAGTGGGGGTTGTGGAACAAGGCCAGGCGGTGTACGTGGCCGACACAGCGGCCACGTGCTCCGTGTTCCGATGTGCAGACAACTTCGTGAACTACCGTGAGCGTAGCGGTTGGGTGTAAGGGATCGGAGGCGACAAGGCCCCCGTTCCTCTTCTAGGATACGGAGATGTGACCTTAGTCCTACAGACGGGAGATGGTGGATTACCCGTACCAGTACTGAATGCTGCCCATGTACCAGAGGCCCCCTACAACCTCCTCTCGCTGACTTCGTTGGCGGAGGAAGGCCACACGTATTCGGGGGTGAAGGGGGGCCTCACCCTGACCAAGAAAGCCGGGGGGGAGGTGTGATTCCCCTGGACTGGAAAGCTGCTGACTCAACGAGGCTATCAAATCAAGCCAACTCTACACACCGCCTGTGCCGCACTCATTGTTCCTGGCGATGCGAAAGCAGCCACCCCCACTGACCTCAACGAGTACCACCTCGCGCACGGCCATGCCCACGAGACATTGCTCAGGATCACGGCGGAGCGGTAAGGAGTGCAGCTGAAGGATGGACCGCGGCGTCTTGGCTGTTCGATGTCCAAGGGACACGTGAAACCTGTTTAGAAGAGCACGAGCACACGCGCAGTTAAGAAGTTATTACGCGTGTATCTCGACTTGGGGGGAAAGCTAAAAACCAGGAGCATTGGTGGCAACTGGTACACACTGATCGTCAGAGACGATTTCTCCTGTTGGACGCGTGTTTTCTTCTTGAAGCACAAGTCTGACACAGCGGTTGGGTTTGCGAAGTTCCTGGCGGACTACCGAACGAAAGGGGCTCCGTATGAGGTTTATATCGCACGTATCGACGGTGGCGGCGAGTTCCAGGGGCAGTTTGCGGACGTTTGCCGCAGACACGGCATCAAACAAGAGTTCACCCCCCCTTACACCCCAAAATACAATGGTGTAGCGGAGAGAGCGCTAGGGTTGATCACTGATGCAGCGCTTGCGTCACGCATCCAAGCGACGCAACTGTTCCCCGACGCACCGAACCACCCCGGGTTGTGGGCCGAGGCCATTTCGTGTGCATGCCATCAGCTGAACTGCACCCCCACTAAATCAAACGAGGGAGACAAATCGCCTTCGAGATGTTCCACGACTCCCCACCGCATATCGGGTCTACGTACACGTTTGTCAAACCAGCCGTGTTCAAGTCGAGAAGAACAGCAACGTCGCAACCGAAGGGCGAAAAAGGATGGTACCTTGGTCCTGCCCACAATCACCCCCGTGACTGCGTTCGCATGCTAACCGAAGCTGGAACCGTAATCACCACCCGCAATTTCACCTGGCGCCACGTGCCCGCTGCATCGCCCGCTCCCCCGCAGCTGCTACCTCTCGCAGATGACGAGGAGGGCGGAGAGGGCGAGAGCAGAGCGGATGCATCACGCCAAGGTTGGGGGGGGGCGAGAGACTCAGATAGTGAGTCCGACCTGGACGTGATGGAGGTTCGTGGGCCAGGGCAAGCGACACCGTTCGTGCGCGAGGAGGCGCCGACGGCACCCGGCAACGGGATCCCGGGGGACGGAGGCAGCGTTCCCCCGTCACCCCCTTCGGGAAGGGGCGACTTCGTCGGAGGCAGTGACATCCCCACCGACAGCAGCAGCAGCAGTGGCCCGAGCAGCAGAAGTAGTGACGCCGGCGGTGCCGGCGGCCCGGGCGGGGAAGCGCCCAGCGACCCAGGTGGGGACGGCGGTAGCGGTGGTGATCCCGGCGACTCCGAGAACCTCGAGGAGTTGAAGTATGATCCAGCCGACGACCGCTACCCCGGCGGGCTAGAAGGGAAGAAACTCCTCTGGGGCGCCTCGAACGCTGGCCCGCTGCGCCATGGGCTTGAGAGTGGCCGCACGCGGAAGCAGACCCGGGAGATGCAAGGTGCCGGGGAGATGCCGGGGCCAGGAGAAACACCCGAACCGGAAGAGGCACTGCTGGCGACCATCCTGGAAACTGGCGGGACGGGGATTGTTGAGGACTACATCTGCAACTCGCTTGTGAAGGAGCAGTGGCAGGAGGAGCAGACACGCGGTATGGAGGAGATGTACAGGCGCGAGATGCAGGAGGTGTTGGGCCCGGAACAGCAGGCGTTCAGGGCCGAGGTCGACGCCAGCGAGTCTTCGCAACCTCTCCCAGACCCACAGCTAAGTATGACCTCGCCAATTGGGCAGAAGCCGAGTGATGTGGAAGCAGTACCGATGACGTACAAGAATGTGATGTGGTCCAAGTACAAGGTTTTCTGGCANGGGGATTGTTGAGGACTACATCTGCAACTCGCTTGTGAAGGAGCAGTGGCAGGAGGAGCAGACACGCGGTATGGAGGAGATGTACAGGCGCGAGATGCAGGAGGTGTTGGGCCCGGAACAGCAGGCGTTCAGGGCCGAGGTCGACGCCAGCGAGTCTTCGCAACCTCTCCCAGACCCACAGCTAAGTATGACCTCGCCAATTGGGCAGAAGCCGAGTGATGTGGAAGCAGTACCGATGACGTACAAGAATGTGATGTGGTCCAAGTACAAGGTTTTCTGGCAGGCGGCCATGAAGAAAGAGATAGATGACCACGACAAGACTGGAACCTTTACCAAGGTCAAGGAGCTGCCCGAGAGGCGGAAGGCCATAGGTTCAAAGTGGGTGTTCTCTTGGAAGACGAATGAGAAGGGCCTGATAGTCGACTTCAAGGCCCGTGTGGTTGCGCGGGGTCTCTCTCAAATCCCCGGCATCGACTTCTACCACTCATCCTCAGCGTGCCCGTCTGCAGCGTCTATCAAGACGGTGATTGCCGTAGCCACTGAAAAGGGCAAGAAAGTCGCTCACTGGGATGTGAAGCAAGCGTACATCCACGCTAAGCAAAAGACGAAATATACCTCAGGTTCCCGGAAGGCTGTGGTAGCATATCCGGCAAGGTGGTCAAGGTTGAGCGTGCCCTGTATGGCCTACAGCAGAGTGGCCGTGAGTGGGGGTTTTGAAGCAGTGCAGGGCCGACCCGTGTGTCTTCCGGAAGGTGGTGGATGGAGAGGTCGAAGGTCTCGTCGTGATCCACGTTGATGACATCTTAGTGGCGGCAGACGAGGGAGAGAGAGAGGAGTTGTTCGCTTCCCTCAACAAGAAGTTTCCGGTGAAAGATCTGGGGGAGTGTATCTGGTACGACGGGTGTGCTATTGCCATGGATGTAGAAATGACATCACCAAGCTGTCCCAGATAGCATACATTGAGAGTATGCTAAAGCGGTTTGATGTGACCACGACCGCTTTCACCCCTGCTGCCACCGATGCCGGCCTGGGGCCGAAGAGAGATGACGAGCCCGCGGTGGATAAGCCTGTGAGGGAGGCGATCGGATGCCTGATGAGGACGAAGCTGACGAGGCCAGACATCGCCCTGCCTCTGAACAAGCTCCAGAAGATCGCCCACTCACCCACCGGGAGGATATAGAACGCGCTTGTGCGGGTCATGTCCTACCTGAACTTCACGAAGGACTTCGGCATCACCTACGTACGGGGGTTCAGGACTAGACCTATGCGTGTTTGTCGACGCCAGCTACGCTGACAATGAAGTAGACAGGCGTTCTACGACCGGGCTAGCTGTGACCGTAGGTGGTACCGTAGAGTTTTCATCCACCAAAANCCTACCTGAACTTCACGAAGGACTTCGGCATCACCTACGTACGGGGGTTCAGGACTAGACCTATGCGTGTTTGTCGACGCCAGCTACGCTGACAATGAAGTAGACAGGCGTTCTACGACCGGGCTAGCTGTGACCGTAGGTGGTACCGTAGAGTTTTCATCCACCAAAACACAGCCAGTGACGGCTCAGTCGACCTCGGAAGCAGAGTATATTGCAGCCGGGGAGGGCGTGAAGGAGGCGTTGCTTGTGCGTGGCGTTCTGTCGTTCATAGCGCCCGAGACGAGTGGGGCGAAGATCAAGGTCCGTGAGGACAACCAGGGGGCTCTCGCCTTCATCGAGAACCCGTTCAGCTCAGCGAGGAGCAAGCAATCGACGTGCGGTTCCATTTCATTCGCGAGCTATTCAAGTCGGGCAAGATCACAGCAGAGTATGTTCCGACTGGAGAGCAGCACGCCGACATGCTGACCAAGGTCCTTGGCACAGAGAAGTTAGAGTACCACCGGAAGGCTCTGATGAACCTTCCGATGTAGAATTCTCTTGATCTGTTTGGTTTATGTGGTGGTTTTTGCACTTGGCATATATGACTATGGTACGTCACGCAGGAAGCGTTGTGCCGGCGCGTCACCCGCGGCTGGAGCCTAGAAACGCCGAGAGCGTTGCTTCGGTTGTATAATCAGCGTGACCGCTTCAATCTGTCCTGCCTTGGTCTTGTGTCGGCCGTTAGAATCCTCTGTGAAAGCGACGGTTTTCTGTATTTAGGGTGTTAGACGAGGGATTTTGATCCGGTTGGCCGGGTTTTCCCTCGAGCCTGTTGTTGTTTTGAGTCCTTTCGGTAGAACAGGGGTATCCATGCCCCACGTTAGATTTGCCATTCGCGTACAAACCGGGGAGGGTGTTCGTGTGTTTGGATACGCACTGGTTAGATCTACCGGCAACAACAGAGGGCGCGCAGATGGGGCATATGTACACCTTGAAATGGTTGCATGTGCGGGGACCCCTCGAACTCCAAAGAGTGCTTCACTTCTCCCTACTCCCCTTGCGTGTCTAATACAAGAGTTAAAACGTCCTCCCCTTCCAAGGAAAGGACATGTACAAACAGTATCCACGTTTGTTTCTGGAAAGATCGGAGAGAAGAATAACGACCAAGGCTTCCTCACAAAATTAATTGCAACAGTCTATGGCATACACCGTGCGGTCGGTCGCCGACGGCACGCGCCTAGTGCCCACCACCTCCTCCTCTCCAGCATCGCGTGTGCTGTAGTGTCACAAATATCAATTCGATACCACTGCTGTCGATTGGGGCTTGCGGCCGGGCGATTGAGTTTTCCCATCTTCGTCGGGGTAGAAAATGCGACGTCACTCGGACTGCTTGTACACAGCCATGTAAATTGCCTACCAAAAGTACAGCGTGCCAAGTCCATATACCAAGTATCTTTCTTCTTCGCTGATCTCTCGCCATGTGCCGTGGAACGCTCGAGTGCAATGCACACACCGTCCAGCATTGGTGCTGATTCTGTTGCTCTGCATTTTGAAAACCTTACCGTACGTGTTGTTTCGCTGACGACGACAGAGAGGACCTTGCACCAAAGCGAAATTCGAGGAACAGTCTAGTCTAGACTCTGCCGTAGCGGTCCATCAACGATCGACGCTCGCTGAAAATCGACAATTGCCATTCCTCGCTCTTCAACCAAAGCATTTCAACCCTTGCATTTTCGGTTTAAACACACGCGTAATGTTGACAGTCACTCCTCGGTTCAGCTCCCTTTATCCAGGATAAAGATGCAACCTCCTCCTTTCTTTTCGTTGCTCCCAGGACATTCAACAATCTCAAGACGACCCTTACCCGCGAGGGCAACGGTGATGCAGGTGATGCATGCATTAGTGTAAGGTCTGCGAATTGTTTTGACCTTGTCATTGTAATGTGCTGGTGGTTTCATCGACGTGCGATGTTTTCGGCCATACCGTCGATAGCAGAACGTTCGTCTGACCCTGCCTTAGGGTTGTAGGAGAGATCTCCGAGCGAGATGGAAAATTACTCGATGAAAATTGACTTTGCTGCGACTTGGTCCGTGCGAGGCCGCCACCCGCGTGGTTGGGTATGAAATCGCAGCCACGTTGCATCCCGTACCACGCTAAAGTCTTCAGATCGACAGGCTAGAACGTTTCGACGGCCCTGCGGGCTTGACACGACCAAAATTGGGATTGTGGCCTGCCGAGGAAAATCCTTCACGTCGTTGAACGATCATTTTTACCCTGGAAGCAGACTTGAGTCGTGCTCACCTTGTGCAAAGCTCCATGCTTCCGATGGAACGAATTCCATGCTTTTTTTACTTTCCCCCCAACGTTGACCCGCACTGTGTATGGCTGCATTATTTATGTTTCCTATACACGGCGCAGAACGATGCGTTTATTATCAGCTTGTTCGACGATGCTGGTACGCGTGGGCTGTCTGCTGCTGCCCACCCCCACGAATACCAGGAGAGGGGGCAACGCTGCCGTCATCGTGGGTTGGTTGTTTGCTGTTGTTTTCCGTCGTGGCAGGTTGTGCTCCTTCAAGTTCATGGGAGAGCTTGACGTCCGGTTGAAGATAGGCTCCACGCATGCAAGCAAGCAGCCGTGTATTCTTCCGGCTGTCCACATCAACATGTCAGATTTACGTGCGCCCCCGCGGTTCCAAGCCCCGCCCCCTCCGCTGGCTCCTGAAATGTTGTCCCAGCTAAATACAGTCTATTCCTGCCCCTGTTTACGTCTCCCGCACCTCTACTCCCACAGGAAGACCTGATGAGCCGAACAACGTTGCCGACAACAACCCCCACGCCCGTGAAGACTTCGAGATGGAGGTAAATGTTTGATGAAAATTGGCTCAAACGTTAACCTGTTTCTACCGCTGCTGCAACTCGGTCCGTCTATTTGTTGGAATACGCAATCACAAATCACCTGCGTCCCATACGCGCCCTGCAGTCGCGAAAGAACTGTCGAGCCAGGACATGTCGACAAGCCCGTATATGCCCCAGACTTTGGCTGCGCTTTCTGGCGTCCCTATCACCCGTGTTCACCCCACCTCCTGTAGGTGTCCTTTAACCAACGGTACAAGATAAATCGAGAATGTGGCGTCCTGAACAAAATGTTGCGTGTTATTAAACGTTCGGTATCGACCACTTGCATGCATCGAAGACTACCTGGTGCAAGGCTCCTGCATACTCTCCCTTCCCGCGTTTCAATCGAATGGATGCCATCGCGTGCGTCGTACGTTTGGATCTTCTCCCCCAATATCTGGCCCCTGGCTGCCTGTTGCCCCATCCCTGTTTCCTATACACCGAGCAGTAGGATCCGGTGTCCAGAGCGTTCGAACGTGCTCCAAGATGCGCGGCGTCTGCTTCTGCACCCCCGCAAAGGCACCAAAAGACGGGTGGACTCAGTCACGATCGTGAGTTGTTCAGTACCTTCTGTTGCTGTTTGTTCTGTGCGGTAGTCCCTGGGCTCTTCAAGGTCATATATCTGGGCGTACGGGGTGAAGGTAGGCTCCACCTATTGTTGCTGCTGTTGTTGTCTTCACATTAAGAATCATTCCGGCCTCCGTGGAGTACCTTCAGATGTCCGTGCCGGCCCAACTGACGTGGACGCCTTCTGTGGTTACAAGGTTACCCTCATGATGCGATACACCATTCTAGAAAATGAGAAAATTACAAATGCTACAGAGAGCATGACTGTATGGGTAATTCTATTTACGTCACCGGTGGGGTTATTTCTTATATGCGTCACCGCCCGTATCTCAGCCCACAGAGCTTCAATTGGCACAAAATGAATTGCGTTGTGTAGCTATGACCCACACCAATCATCCAAGCCGATTTCAAGCAAAATCCACTCGGTAGTTGGAGAGGCATGCTCGAAAAAGGGGTCTCAGCGGCATCAAACGGTGGGCATCAACCACATATTCCACCGTAACTCCGCGGCAAGAGCTCCAATCGACGTCAAACAAATTGTGCTGGTTGACTACACTCCGTAGCCGTCGTTCAAGCCATCGGGAATGTCCATCCGACCGGTGGTTGCCGAGGTATGCTCCCCCACGGGGCACTGTGGCGCCGTAGGGCGGTGGCGTAAATAAGCTTATATACGACACCGCCCGGATCTCAGCGCACAGGTCGATAAATGACACGCGACAACGTCCGCTGTGCTGGAACGATTCCCCGCTTTTGTTGAGNGGCGTAAATAAGCTTATATACGACACCGCCCGGATCTCAGCGCACAGGTTGTTAAATGGCACGCGACAACGTCCGCTGTGCTGGAACGATTCCCCGCTTTTGTTGAGGTCATCGGGAACGTCCATCCAACCGGTGGTTGCGGAGATATGCTCTCCCACGGGGGAAAGGTGGCGCCGTAGGGCGGTGTCGTAAAAAGCTAGTATACGAGATCGCCCTTTGATCTCAGCGCACAGGTCGTCAATTGACACGCAACAACGTTCGCCGTGCTCGCACGAGTCCCAGCTTTCGTTGAAGCCATCGGGTACGTCGATTCGACCAGTGGTTGCCGAGGTTTGCTCTCCCATGGCGCCGTACGGCGGCAGGCCTTTTGACCTGGGGTCGGGCTTAGGACAAGANGACACGCAACAACGTTCGCCGTGCTCGCACGAGTCCCAGCTATCGTTGACGGCATCGGGTACGTCGATTCGACCAGTGGTTGCCGAGGTTTGCTCTCCCATGGCGCCGTACGGCGGCAGGCCTTTTGACCTGGGGTCGGGCTTAGGACAAGCTTTCGCCGATTGAACTGCATGTGTCCACCTGCTTTCACACAAGTATCCAGGAAGTTACCCTCGATCAGTTTGGGGTTGGTCGCGAATAGTTCCTACACGGGACGCGGCAAAAAGTAAGGCGTGGGTGGCGATCGTTCCTTTTTTTGCAGGCCGTGTTGGGTGGAGAAGTACCACGACATTTGGGTGTTCCAAGGGCACGAACGCAGGCCCACGAAGATTCATTTGTACCGCAGTCTTAGGCCAAATGCCAACAACGAAGAAGATGGCGGTCAATTTGTCCAACAGGGGTCCTTGCCGGGGAGTGTGTGTGCGTGGACGTAGGAAGATGAAGAAATACGTGTTGCTCGGTGAAGAGGATATGTCGTGATGATGTGTGTGCGAATCCGTGCTGTTGCCGATAACTCACCCGGGCACTTGGTCGACCAAGTGCTCGGATGTTTATCATTCGTGGGATTTCATTCCCGTGCGGCCTAACATCGCAGATATGAACGTCAACACATTGTCTGTATTGTCCTCGCCACAGATGCTCCCACAACATATCTTCCTCCGAACCATCGCAACGTCAACGACCTGCGAGGAACCCCTCCCCCCTGGTAGGCAACCCGCCGTCGTTGAGNCGACCAAGTGCCCGGATGTTTATCATTCGTGGGATTTCATTCCCGTGCGCCTAACATCGCAGATATGAATGTCAACACATTGTCTATATTGTCCTCGCCACAGATGCTCCCACAACATATCTTCCTCCGAACCATCGCAACGTCAACGACCTGCGAGGAACCCCTCCCCCCTGGTAGGCAACCCGCCGTCGTTGAGCTCAACACTCTGCTCCCAAACGCACGTCAAAGCACCGCCGAGTCAAGAACATCATCGGTATAACATTACGCTCTGGTGCGAATCTCCGACTGTACGGAAGGGTGACGTTACCCCAACGGCAAACGCTACTCTTTCTCGCTTGGAGAAAAACCACTACTAAATAGAGAAGAAGGCGCAGCCACCCAGGGGGGATATCCTTGATCCCCCCCCCGTGGGACTCGGATTTCACGTGCCTTTTTCCTGCTTGATATTCTTCTTGCTCTTGCTCCCCTCCTCGCTGCCTTTCACCCGTGTTTTCCTCTTTGTGTTGTCTTTTGGCGCACGAGGATTAGACACGGTGGTTTGAGAACTGGCGGCCTGCCCCTTCGGCCGACCTGGTGGCTTGACCTGGGCTGGGTTCTTGGTCTTGGTGTCACCGTCCGGGTTGGCTAAGAGGTACCTGACGTACTTGTCAACTTCGGCCTGGATGTCAAGCGCTTTGTCGAACGGAACAGCCTTCAAGATCTCGCCGACGTTCTCCTTGCTCTTCGCCATCATAGTCGCGAAAACTCGGCGTTGGTCGCACGCTTTTCGCTCTGTGGCTCGCCCTTCACGTTCTGCGGGGTGAACACCTTCGCCACCGTAATCGTCGTCGAACGTGGGTCCTTCGTAGTTGTCGTCTAGCCCCTCGTCCCTGCCGTCCCAGCCCTTTCCGAGTCCAGCCTGTTGCAGGACACTAGAAACGCTCCACGGGTCGTCGTTGCCACCTGGCGACTTCCTCCAACGGTTGTGCACGGAACTACCGTGGAAGTCGTGCCNGCGATGCCCGTAGAAACTTCATGGCGCTAGTGCGTCGTGCGATACTCGCCTGGCAGATTCTACCTCCAGAGACTTGTTCACACTTTGAAGCTTCTCCCAAAGAGCGCACAGGGAAAGATTTTTCTCTACTCCAGCTCGTTTAGCAATCCCGAATAAGCCCTCTGTGCGCTGGGTCGCGGCCATGCCGAGGGTCATAACCGTCGGCCGACATGAGAATGCCCACTTAGTCTTGTCCCTTGGGGGTTAGGGTAAACAGCAGCGGCGTCATCCAAGTGGGGGTTAGGCTTTCGAATCTGCGGTTGTCCCTACTGAAAGGACAGGTCAGGGTTCGACTTAGCTCTTAGTCTTTGCCTAGCGAGAGGACGAAAGTTTTCGAACATGCGACCAAGAAATATAACATCGAAGTTGATTCGCCAAACGGGGCGTGCGAAGCAACGGCGGGCGTACTTACTCGATTAGGTCCTGCATGTACTTGGCACACTTCTTGCCCGCAATAGTCCTTTCCAGGTCAGCACTGTACTTGTTAAAGGCCTGCACGCAAGAGCAAATAATCCAGCCGCCATGAACGTCATGAGGGGCGGGGGTGAGTGGGGCCTTCCGAAAACATGCTCCATTCGTCACTGGGGCATTGCAAAACGTCCACGGCATAGTGACGTCAACGCACAAAGTCGCTAGGCCGGTATCTCACCTCCGGCGTCGCTGCGTAGGCTACGCTGCGAAAGAGACCTAGCATCCTCTTGCGCTCATCAGCGTCGGGGAAAGACGAGGCACAATTCTTGACGTTCTTCAAGATGTGCCACAGACAGTACAGGTGCAACGTCGTCTTCCATCCCCGCAGTGCAGCAATCATCGCCTTCTCCCCATCCGTTAGGAAGACCTATCCACATCAGCATTCAAGGGTGCGGAGGTAGGGCGATGTGTCGTGCCAGCACAAATTCGAAGGCGCGCGAGGACGGTCTCGGGGACCTCGTGACGGGTGACCTCGTGACGGGTGCGATAGAACGTGCCACCTCCGAGATATCGACTGCGGGATTCATCTCTCCTACCTTCGGCCTCCGGCCTCCAGAAGCGCCGTCCCAGCTTGTCAAGATCCACTTGAATGTCTCAGTGCACTCCGACCGCAGCAGGCACTGCGCCAAGATGCAGCTCCGGTTTTCGTCGTCAACGCCCACAATGAAAAGAAGAGGGCATCCGTATCTGTCAATAGGGTTAAGGCAAGGAAGCACGGGCGGATGGCGACATCGCACGAACGCATCAATCAATGCATTGCGTTACGACGCGGAGAGTTCAAGTCGGGGCCTGAGCCACACTCCAGAGCCCTCCCCATGCCCTCCTCTGAACCACTCAGAGCCAGTACCTGTTCGTGAATACCGTGGTATCCATCTCGATGCATGCCCCATATCTCGCGATCTTGTTCTGCTGGTCCACGGTAGCCCAGAAGACGTTTTCCAGCCTCCCGATTGAGTCGAATTCGCGTTCGACGAACATACCGGGCTCCGACTGGAGAGTCGCCAGGAAATTCGCCGCGTCTTCGGGACTCGAGTACAGGTAGTCTTTAATCGCGACCATGGCATTGTCCACCTAACGTTGGACAGCAATGCCAACACACACACGATACACATAGTGGCGGCAGGATCAACATTCGCACAGACCAAGTGAGACCCCACCTCCGAATCAAGAGGCATCGACTACTCATGAGTGGGGAGAGGATGGGGCGGACGTGCTCAGAGCATTACGACGCCCTAGTTTTCCCTGTTACCGGCACGACTTCATGCCATACGAACACTTTGCAAGCGCAACCAAGACAAAACTCACCTTCTTCCTCCCGTCCCTGCACAAAACCCTGCCCTCTTGATCCATTTCGAGTAGCTTGAAGATTTCTCCAGGCTTCACATCCGCTCTTGTTCACCTTCCAATGTCGTCTATCCTCTCGTTGATGACGTGTATCGGGGGAGCGTCCTTCGCGGCTGTCGACACCGCTCCGCTGGGATCGTGGTTGTGCCCGCAGTATGACTTGCGTAGAGGAGGCAGGGCGGGGACGGAGCCGCGACATACACCGGGTCACAACAATCACGTGTACCACGCAAGGAATCCAAAGTGGTTCACAACGTGAAATCAGCGGTTGATTCGTGTCGCAATGGAACACGACATGGTCGTACGGCAGCCCCGAAAACGAAAATCGGTCTACGGAAATCGCACATGAATACATGGGGATAAAAACCCTTCTGATCCCAGCCAAAAGAAACGTCAAGGGCGTCGCTCCGACAACGCGTCTTGGCCACGACTCACTGAGGTGATGGATGGGCTGGGGGCTTCAACTCGCCAAGTTATTACCAGCTTGAACGGGCATCCAATCTGTCACAGTCACGAAGACGTAGATGAGCGGCGCGCACGAGCTGTGATGTCAGACGCTAAGACTTGATGTCGCCATGATCTTTGAAAGACTCTACGACCCGCGAATAACGCGCGGTGTGCCCACGCAGGCTGCCTTGAAACCGTTCCAGTACAGTTCCGACGGCACAACAGCAGACTCACCTCCTGGTTTGTGCAAATTCTGCTCTTCGTCTCAGGTGCGGGTTCTGCCCTCTTACGCGGCACTCCAGCGTGTTTGCAGATGATCTCGCAGTAGTTGTATCTCCGCTTGTCTGCAGTCTGCGGATGCGTATGCAATCGGTGAACAGAGCGGTCGCAGGGGTTACTCAGGAATCACGCGTTTACTCTTCGGGCCCTCTCATTGCCTCATGGCGAGCAAAAGCGAGCAAAAACGAGCGACCGAAAGAAACCTCAACCAAATAAGCCGCCCAATAGCCGCCACCAAGTACACCCGTCAGGATTCACCTTTTTTTTTTTTTGCCTTAGAGGGTGTGATGCCCTTTTTCTGCAAGCTCGCCAAGAAGCGTTGAGAACACGTGGTCCCAAGTCTCGGGCGGGGAACCCTTCGCATCGAACATGCGCCCAACTCTCGCTACCCCTTCCGCGTCCCCCCCACCCCACCGCTTCTCTTTCCCTTCCTTGTTTGGGGCGTCTTCGCTGCTGCCGCTGTCCTGGCTCAAGCGAAACAGCAAAGGGCCAGCAGCAAACATTCACCAGAGGAACCGATGTCAATGGTACCACGCTTGCCGCTAGACCTTTCACCATTAGTCGATGCTGAACGAACACGTACATGGAGACACTTCCTGAATCAGTCGGTGAGACGTACGTGCTGCATGCTCACCTGCTGGCTTTTTCGTGCGTCATCCTTGCTCTGGGGCCCGGACGCATTGTCGCTGTCTGATCCACCGCCCTCCTGTTTGCATTGGACGACGCTACCTCGATGGTGCCAAAGAACTCAATTTTGACAATACACCCAAAGGCCTCGGCAAAATTCGGCAAGTCACTACGAAGAAGCGCCAAATAGAATAGAATGTGGATGGCCAC